TCTTCAATAACGGCGGTTGCTGCTTTGGTGCTCTTGTTCTGTAGGGCCTAAGCACGACGACTTTTTGACTATTTACTGTAACAAGGTTTCCCCGACTCTCCGATGATGGTGACGCGCCTTTGACTTTCTCCAGTATTTGTAGTCATCGCCTAGTTGGTCTATGAAGCTGTGTGTAATTTTTACTTATGCTGTTTTTTGCACCTTGACAGTTAATTAATGGAGTAGATTTGATGGTTTTTCTGGGGAAAAATAGTCGACTTGTCAATATTCCAGTGACATCAAAATCTTTGATTTCTCTATATTTTTTGTGGTGCATGGATCCTAATGACCAAGCCATTTTCCCACTAGCAATGACCCATGGTGGAAGATGATTGGCAACCAAAGGAGGTGCGATACGATGTGACTGCTCACTGCTTGACCGAGTGCGCAGAACCGATATGATTGATTAACTAAGACAAGACAACTATTGCATTTCTAATTACCAGATGCATTTCCATGTTCTAGTAAATAGGTATATTTCAACTTTTAGGGCCTCTTTGATCCGTAGGGTTCTTAAAATGTGGGAATAGAGAAAACGTAGTAATAGAGTGTCATGTACTTTTGTACCCTACAGGATTTGGTAGAGTGTTTGATGGCATAGAAAAAACAAAGGAATTCAACAAAGATGTTTGACTGGATGGAAATTTTCTTCCAAAATGTAGTACAAATGAGTCCTATGAAGAATTCTTAAGGATTTCAATCCTATGAATCAAACGACCATCATAGGAAAATATCCTAAGTATCCGAATCCTCTAAAAATTCTATGAAATTCCTGTGTATCAAAAGAGCCCTTAAGTTCTGAGCTAGTATTAGCTTGTGGTGTAATTCTGAGTTTTGGAATTTTGTAAATTAATTTGGAGGCTTACCGTGACATGTCGACCTGATGCCATCGGGACAGAGGCACGCGAACTCCGCGGTGGAGGTGTTGTACCGGCACTGGCCCCCACTAGCGACACAAGCGGGGCAGTCCCCGACTCCAGTGCCCGCCCAGTCCAGCAGGAACCCGGCCAACAAGAGCCGATTGTAGTCGGCCGCCGTCGAGACTGCCGCCTCCGTCCCGAGCACCGGGAAGTACGTGTACGTGCAGTCCCCGGTCGGGATCTTAGGAGGGATGTCCCGGTCGTAGGTCCCGCCGAGGTACGCGATGATTTTCCGGCCGCAGCCGGGCACGCTGGTGGCGTTCACGTACTCGGCCCCCCCGGGCTCCGTCCCATAGCAGTTGAACAGGAAGCCCAGGGCACGGTTGCTTGGGCTGATCCTGAACGGGCTGAGGGCCAGGCTGACTGAGATGTTGAAGTCGGAGCGGCACACGCCGTCAGTGCCCGAGGCAACCCTGTTGTGGACGACAACGAAGGAGCTGGTGGCGTAGTCGATGTTGAGGACGTGGATGGGGGAGCCACGCATGGAAGCGGAGGTGTTGCCGTCGATGCACCAGAGCTCGAAGGCCGGGTGGCCACAGGAGGGCTCCGGCGGGGGGCGGCTGGGCGCGCCGAGCCAGAACGGGTACTTGATGGTGAAGTTCCCGCACGCCACCGGCTTACACTCGGCATGCACCCGTTGATGGAAGAGGAACAGTGAGGCCAAGGTGAAGAGCAGTGAGGTTGGATGCATGACAGCAGTCTGAATCGAGGAGACTGATTTGGCAACGGGGAAGGATGGCGCAAACTCGGCAGATAATATGGAAGAACATAGTTGAGGGAGAAGATAATACAAGTGATATTAGACAACGCCTTTGACTGGTTCTGTGGACGAGTATTTACTTTTCCACACACACTAGAGAGAGTCAACATCCAAATGTCTTGATCCATATTTAGTTGGTGCAGTGTCCCACAGTTTTATCGCAAACGTATTCCCACCATAGGATGTGTTGTTATGCTCAGAGCAAGGAACGGAGCTTTGTCTTTGTCATTGTCCATGTAGTCCAAATACTCCCCCTGTCCAGAAATACTCGTCGGAGGAATGGATGTATCCAGATGTATTTTAGTTTTACATACATTTATTTTTATGCATTTCTTCGACAAGTATTTTTGGATGGAGAGAGTACATTTTGTAAGCAAGTGGAGCACTGCTCGTATTCCCACCATTTGTCCTCCCCTCCCCACAGTTTTGCCATCAATTGCGACTTGCGCGGTCGATAATTTTTCAAAAGAAAAAAAGATGGAGGTGGAAGACAGCTAGAGTCAGAATTGCGTGGATGATGATTTTTTCGAAACAAAAATAAAAACTTCAGCAAAACCCAAGGGACGAGTCTTGACTCTTAAGCAATGAGGTGCGATGCGTTGATGTGGACTAAAGATGGACAGGAGGACCACAGTTAAAGGGGCTTTGCTACACCTACGTGAGTTTGTTACGAAAAGTTACGTACATGCTGATGTGGCTACGTTTAAGTGGATAGCACGCCCCTGACCCTAAAAATCAGGAGGGGAATTAGTTAGAATTAGGGAAGGAGATGACGTTTTTAAGTAAGATTACGTAACAATTTTCGTAGGTGTAGCATTTTTGCAGTTAAAGTATCGTTGTCTTCTACTCCTTTCTGATGACTTCAAAACCTTGATTTGTCAAACATTTTTATGTGGAGTGCACAGGAACGTGCAAATGTGCCATTTTGCCACTAGCAATGATAGACGGTGACAGGTCTGGCATCTCTCACTTCTCTTCTTTGGAGGAATCCATTTATCACTAATCGTTTTAAATGTTTATCATTTCAAACCATGTTTTAGAGGAATCCATTTATCACTAATCATTTTCAGCTTGGTTGAGACTGGGGACTTGAGGCCAGCGCCAGGCGATTTGGATCATCTAAGTGAGCAAAATTCTTGCGTAAATCAACGGGTTGATTATTCAGCAGCAAATGGGGTTTTCAAACGAGCAAATCGTCCAGCCGAACGGAAATGAGGTATAAGAGTCTCTCAGCCACAGTGGGTGGGACGCGTTGTGACTGCTGCCTGTGGACTAAAGATTGACCAAGTGTACTATTGATCATTGAAGATAACTATTTTTCACTAATTTATTTCCATGTTATGGAATTTAAATTTTAGAATAATGATGAATATTAATTTGGAGGCTTACTGGCACATGTCGGCCGCAGCGGGGCTGCCTGATGCTAGAGATGCAGGTAGTGCCCACCCAATCCGGGACGGTGCACAGACGGTGCCAGTAGCAATCACAGACGGTCGCAGGTCTCGCATCTCTCACCTTTGTTTCGGGGCAATCCAAATCTCACTACTAATTTTAAATGTATTGTCATTTCTAATCAAATCTTCTACTGTGCTCCAGCTTGTTTGAAATTGGGGATTCTACGCCAACGGCGGGCAATTTTGATCATCTAAGTGGGGCAAAATTGTCATGTCGATGCGTCCAACCTAAATCCTGGGTACTTATCTACTGCCCGGCGCCTAGTTGCTGCCAAGAAGTATTTGACGACTGACAAGGGTGAGTGAGCTTACCACTACGGTAATTTGGTGGCTGCCATGTGAGGAGGAAGCCATCGCTGATGAGCTCCTCGTAGTCGCTGGGGTTCATCTCTCCAGACGCACCCAACACCGGCACGGCGGTGGCATTGCATCCCTCCAAAGTGTAGCTGCCGTCTATCACGCCCGACGCATTATAACGCCCTCCCGCGCGGACAAACGTGTTGTTCCGGCACACCGTGTCCACCAGCTCCGCTCGGGCCGCCGGCGCCCTGGTGCAGTTGTAGAAGACGAGGTTCTGGTTCAGGGGGCTTACTGAGAAGGGATGCCCGATTTTGGTGGCCGTGTTGGCCTTCGGGACACTGCAGCCTTCCCCGCCCGAGAGATTGAAGTCTCCAAGCTTGTGCACATCGGAGACTAGCAGGGAACCGTTGTTGTAGAAGATGTCGAGGATCTGGAGCCGGCCATCGCTTCCGTGGCACGAACCGGTGCTAAAGGTTCGTCACGAACCGGTACTACTGAGAGCGGCCCGCCTAGCCATTGGAACCGGCACTAATGGTCACATTAGTGCCGGCTCAGTTTCAAACCGGGACAAATGAGCTGCACATTAGACCCTTTTTCTACTAGTGTATGAATGCAAAAATACTACACACACGGGCCTTTTACAGAGTATTGCAGCCATTTCCTTAAATTCTCTTCACGCCCACCTCAATTTCACCTGGGTGGGGGGCCCCTTACTCCCCCTCAATGCAATCAAAACATGCCAATTCAGCACCAGTCCATAAATGTTAATTAATTTTCTGTTGATGTAGCATTTCTCGTATGAATGTGTGCATCTGCGGACCAGAGCCTTGGATGAGCCATTCTTTTTGAATGGAAGCATAATCAAAAAGCGATCTTCTCCATCTCTATTGATATTTTTTTGAGGGATAAACAAACAATCTTCTAAAAAAAGGAAAAGGGAATGTAAGGGCAGAATTGGGCTGCGAGAAAAATTGTAGTTGCCGGAGTGGCGAGTTAGATCGTCGGAGAGAGGCCGCGGAAGCGATGTTGCCTGAGAAGCAGCGCAAACCCTCGGCTTGCCAGCGAGGTTATGCGCGGGTCAAGGAAATCACGCCGCTACTTGTTTGAGTGGATACAATCTACAGAGAGGAACAAGTAAGTATACGCCTTCCGCTTCCACAATTAATCTGCTTGCTATGAATTGGTATATAGCGTCACAATGTTTAGATGGATACACATTGTCTGCATCCGGATTCTGAAATTTTAGGTGCTGTAGTTACAGTCAAGAAGGCCTTGGTGGTTGTCTGCCTCCGATGCCTTTTACCAGTTGGAACACAACACTCGTCAGAATTAATTTTATTCCTTCTGCGGTCCATACCTTAGGACGCTTGCATGTGAATGTTCTTGACTCTAGGTTATGCATACAAGTACAATGCTGAATTTCGCGGATTTGTTCAATTTCTGAATGTACTCTAGTACAGGCCAGAGGCCACCTTCTCACCGTGTTGGAAATGAATGTAGGTTCTTTGATTCACATGGCCTATCTGCTCAAAGAGTTGGCGATTTTTGTAGGATTTTTGAATTCACAAGGCCGATCTCCTCAGATTTGTTAGAACTTGAACTTTGTACATCCATATTTTGAGCTGAACTTTCACTGGCATGAGAGATAAGCGCGCAGGTCAAGTTATTGCATAATCATAATTGCACAGAATGACAAAGTAACAAAAAATACCGGAGAATATCTTACAGCAATCCAGAGAAGTTTTGCTTCGGTGGCATGTCCATGTCATCTGAGCTTCTCTCGAACATTTCTAGAACTTTGGTTATGGTAGGACGATATGCAGGCAATATCTGTACGCACCACAATCCAATTAATGTCATCTTTCTTGCGATTTCCTCAGTTTCTCCTGTGACTTCACATGCTTGTAATCCATCATCTTGCGCAAAGTGATCATAAATCCAGTCGGGAAAATACTTTTCACTGGATTTTGCAACAGTTGATTTTACATTTCTCCTTCCTCCAACCATCTCCAAAAGCATCATTCCATAACTATAAACATCTGACTTTGTTGAAACCACTCCAAATGTTCGAGAGTGAACTTCTGGAGCGATGAATCCAATTGTTCCTCTAGCACCAGTCATTGAAAGCTTGCTCTCCTTTGTATGACACAATTTAGCTAGACCAAAATCAGCAATCTTCGGATTAAAATCCTTGTCTAGAAGGATATTTTGGGGCTTGATATCAAAATGGACGATACGTGTATTACAGCTATGGTGCAAGTATTCGAGGCCACGAGCAATCCCGAGTGCTATCGCATAGAGCCTCTCCCATCCTAAAATTTCTTTGGGGTTCTCTGAGTAAATGAACTTATCCAAGGAACCGTTGGGCATGTACTCATATATAAGAGCTCGTTTTGATCCCTCCAAACAAAACCCACATAAGCTAACAACATTAACATGCGAGGTCCTTCCAATGCTCATAACCTCATTCACAAACTCGTCCCCATTTCCTTTGCAGTCATGCAAGAATTTCACAGCAACCAGACGACCATCATGTAGTCTTCCTTTGAAGACCACACCATAACCACCTTTTCCAAGCTGATTGCCGCGAGAAGAAGTTATCTTCATTACCTCTGAATACATGTATCTTTTTGGAGTTAGGGATCCATACGATGCTATCATGGCCTCGTAATTCTTTTCAGTGTTGCTTCTAGTCTTCTTGCAAAGGAGAAACCATAGTATTTTCCCCTTTCTATGCCATATCAGGACGTATATGCATGTAAAGAGCAAGACTCCAGCTGCTGATGTCACAACTGAGATTGAAGCAGATCGATATTACTTCCTTTTCTAAACCGACTTATAATGCAATCATTTGATTTCCAAGACCACCAATAATTTAAATTTCCCAAGTGAGAGTTGCTGGATTCGGGTTTTTATTCTAGAATCAATTCTCAATGATTACAGGTATGACTATCTTTAAGGTACTATTTCAACATAGAAATCACTGTAGTGAACTACTAATATTTAAATCATTACATATGAGAAAATGGCAAAAGTTTGAGCATACCTATTAGCATAATCGTCTTGCTAGTCCCCATGCTACCTGGAATATAACATATATAACATTTATGAGTAAAAGCAATGTTGTCCAACAGTACTACATTGGTTGTTTTTTAAAAGAAAAAAATAGCATTGTATATGTCCTTCAATATTCTGTCCGTGAAGTACAAAAACAAAACACTGCAAGATATCGAAGAACAATAGAACATGGGCTGTGTATCTGACTTTCATTTGATAGAGCAGCTACGTCGATCAAATACAGGTTGGACGAATAAAAAGTTGTAGGCCTGTGTCGATTTAGTAGCCATTATGAGCAATCACATAAACTTTGAGTATAATTATGTATTTGAATGACATTACATTGGATGGTACAATTCAATCTATACATGGAAATTAGCAGCATGCTTGCTCTGTTAATTTTTCCTGCAAATATCCTATTTACCAGCAGCATGAACCACAGTGTGGCAAAACTGAAGAGTGTTTGGTTATGCTACAGAACTAGACCGGCGACATGCGTTCTGTTGAGATTACACTAGTCAGGCATTTAATATCCATAGTGTAGTAATTAGCAGGCACACGCATGATTTTCCTTATAATTAAGGAGCTTCTACCCCCAATTTCATCTGTTCAGTGAAACTGATAAGACATTGTTTTGTGATCGACCCAAAAGGTTCAACCTCAACCCAAACCTTTTCCAGTTCCATGCATAAGCAACACTGAAACTTACACCTATGATCTTAAAATGCTGCTACAAAACACCGCAAAACAATGATCGTACCCCCCTAACTAAAAAACAGAGTCAACTGGATAGAACACCAGCCATACTAGTAGGAGATAAAAGGAAACCATTTACAGCTAGAAGGTACGCGCATGTTGTGTTCATTTTTCTTGTAAACCCCCTCAACTTAGTGCGCCAAAATCAAAGACTACTTAATGTACAGAACGAAAGTGGTGTATCTTTTTCTACGATCAACTCACTGTCACTATTATATATGTGAACCGCGTCCGCAGATGATGGACAAAGGCGCGCTCCGGAGCAGTGGCACCTGAAGATATCATAGGCGATTTTGGTCTGGCAAAATTCCCCATGCCCACCTTGCAGCCGCTGGCCATGCACTCAAGGACAAACCAAACTTCATCAGCTGCCCCCTCGTAGCCCAACACTGGCATCATCAGCGACGTACAGTTCCCTGCACGGGCCGTCAAATGTTGTCGGGCTTGTATGCCCCAGCAAGCCACACAAATTAGTTATTGAGTGACGGGTGTTGGATCCTGTGGTTCATGGGTTCCCATGTAAGCTAGCGGATGCGGCCACGGATGCAAGATGGAGTTGTAGAGGAAGAAGTGCTCCGGGTTGGCAGCGCTTATGTGAGGCCGAGATCAGAGGTGTCCACGTGGAGTTTGATGTCACACACACTGTTCGAGAGCTAGAGGTTGTGACATGGAAGAAGTTTTCTGGGTAGGAGATGATGAGGATCTCATCTTATACGTCCAGAGGGAGGCCTTGTCGGTGCTGCCGTGGGTGAACTGGAAGGTATGGTAGCTACACTCAGACAGGTACGTGCCGTAGAGCCAGAAAGAATACACGATATGGATGTCCCCGCGCACATGTTGCCCGTAGAAACCCTAAACCCTGGCCTGATTCATAGGATTTTGGAGGGGAGGAAAACGGTAAGCATCCCAACTGTGGTTGAACACTGAACTAGACTGAATTCCCTAGTGGTCAGGTAACATGCTTCGAAGACGGCTCCGCATCTAACCCCTGGTGTACTCGGTACCACTACCACCAAACAATTGGTGGACAGGAAGAAGGAAGAACAAGAGAGAGATTTTTGTGAGAAATACAAACTGCCAACTAGATAATCACTTGGAAAGGATTAGAAAAAAGCAAATGTGCAGAAGAATTATATTTCGTCAACCTTGCCAATATTTGACAAAGACAAAAGCAAGAGTTAGTTGATAAGGTTTAAAATTTCAAATAGGTAAAACATTTGCTTGTCACCGGAATGACTGAAATTTCATAAATTCTGTAATTATTTCGGATCTTTTTATATACACTCTATCAAATTTGATGGAATATTATACTTAAATTGGGGAAAAGTAATGTTACAGAAATTTACGAATATCATCATTATAGTTTTTGTTCTTGAGGACTAGTGATTAGCAAATGAAACCACGCGGACTAAACTGGTTAACTTACAGAATCATATAGAATATATGAATATACATGTAGTACCAAATTAAAATTCTTTACACGTCAAAACATTCAAGATTCTTTGAACCTGAGATTGAATTGTGGTTAGAGGTAATTATGTTCCGGGATATGAGGTAATTCTGAAATAGCCTGGGAATGAGCAAGGCAGAATATATATAAAGTAAAATAGAAATGAGTTGAACGCCGCGCAGTCGAAGATATCGTAGTCGGTGTCAATCCGGCAATGTCCACCTCTCTCCTTGCACGCCGCGCAGTCGCCGACTATGTAGCCCAGAACAAACCGACCCTTCATCAGCTGCCCGTAGTCCTTCCCGGCTGCCCCCGCGTACTCGTACACCGGCATCATCGAGACATTGCAGCCCCCAGGCACCGGCCCCCATTGGTCGTCTGGTTTATACCCACTGGCGAGCCACGCGAACGAGTTGAACGTGGTGGACACATTCAACTCGTTCGTGCAATTGACGGGTGCCCACGTACGCGGTGCCGGCCGCGCGTGTAGGTCGGTGTAGTTGTAGAGGAAGAAGAGTTCTTGGTTGGCGGTGCTGATGCTGAAGGGTGCGAGGCCGAGGTCGGAGGAGGCGTTCACGTGGAGCTCGATGTCACAAGGGAGATTGTAGTTGGCGAGCCTGAAGATGCTATCCTCGTACGAGATCTCCAGGATCTGGAAGTTCCAGAATGAGTTCTCGAGGAAGGCCGTGTCGTTGCCGTCGCACGTGAATGGAAGGCCCGATAGCCGCACACCGGTGGGTGCGTGCCACCGAGCCAGAACAGGTACGCGATGCGCAGGCCCCGCACGCCGCGGGCTCGCAGGACGTTGAGGATAACGAGGGTGTTGTGGTGTTTTGGGCGTTTGTCGTTGTGCTAGAGAGGAGGGTGAGGTGAAGCATGGCTGAGCAGAACATGGCAGCTCCCGAGACGTGGAACGGATCCATCTTCTTGCTCTTGCACATTTTCTTTTTGAAATGGAAGAAGACCCCTGGCCTCTGCATCTGGATGATGCATTCAGCTATTTTGTTAATTGTTCACACAAGACCTTATAAAGTAATACAACAATAAGTCTAAAGCCACCGTCTAGGCAAAATCTGTCGCTATTCCTATCCAATTGATGAAAGGATGCTGATAGTCTGGGTCTAATACCAAACATACCTCGCAGCCAAACCTACCTTCTAAGACATGAGGTCCCATCCAGGACGCCTGCTGGGTATGGGCCACCCACCTGTTCGGCGCACTCCTCAACCAGGACGCCTGCTGGGTATGAGGCCGCCGCAGCCACCTGCCACCAATCCATCTTCAGAACTGTACTGCTGCATCTACCTTGCCCGGTCTATCTGCCGTCGACGCCATCACGACGCCAGACCACGTCACCTTCCTGCACGAGTCCATCTTCGCGCATCGGACGCCGAGTCACCACAGCGCCATCCCGCCGAGATCCGCCGCCATCAATGAGTGAGATGAAGCACCGCTCCACCAAAGAATCCGTCATCTGGTCCCTCGATCACGTATGTACCTTCAAGAATGACGCCCCAAAGGGGGGAACGACACTAGAGCGCCGCGGTCATCCGATCATCCGGTCTAGGGTTTCCCTCTGAGGTAGCAGAGAGTGGCCTTGAAATTCTCCATGGCGATGCCTTTAAGAATGGAACGATTGAGATAGCGGCGCCACCGCTGGCCTTGGCAATAGCCGAAAGCAAATTTTCACCCAGATCTGTTCGAAGGAATCCAACTCCCGTGCACGGCCGCCGCCACCACCAGGCTAAGCACTCGCCGCCGCCGGCACCTTCACGATGCCCAGAGGCCGCCAGACTCGCCGCCACCATGCCTGGGCCGCCGGCCACCGCTGCCAAACCAGCTCCACCATCCACCGGATCTGGGCAGGGATCCTAGATCTATCCCCCACCACCCACCACCACGGAGGGGAGGAGGCGGCGCCAGCGAGGGACGCCGGGAGGGGGAGAAGGAGCCGAGGCAGGGCCAGCCCGACGCCCGGCACCACCAGGCAGATGGGAACGCCCCGCGGAGTCCCCAACTGCGTGCGGGAGAGAGCCGCCCCGCCGCCGCCAACGCCACACGGCCTTTGGCTGGCGACGCCCCAGACGGCGGCGAGGGAGGGGGTTGAGTCGAAGTGGGCTACGGGTGCGGCACTAGGGTTCCTCCAGGGGGCGCCCGCGGGAGCGCCTCGGGGAGGCGGCGAGGTGGCCAACTGGCTTTTGCACATGGCAATAGTGGTGTATCACAAGTGTATATATTAGGAGTTGGAATCCTTGTTTCACGGAGAATCTGTGATAGTAGTCTCACACGGCCTAACAATTGCTGCACCCATCCACGGTCAAAGTATCATCGTCTTTTACTCCTTTCTGATGAATTCAAAACCTTGATTGGTCAAATATTTTTGCGTGGGGTGCACAGTTTGGAAGGACCGCCATTTTGCCACTAGCAATGCCCGATGGTGACAGGGCTCATATCTCTCACTTTTTTTTTTGAAGAATCCCTATCTCACTAGTCATTTTAAATGTATATTATTTCAATCAAGTTTTGATGTATGCTCCAGCTTATTTGAATCTAGGGCTTGTGGCCAGCGGCAGGCGATTTTGATCATCTAAGTGAGCAAGATTGTGGCATAAATCAATGGGTTGATTATTCAGCAGCAGATGGGGTTTTCCAGAGGAATGAAGATGGGGACACGATGTGACTGCTGCCCGTGGACCAACTGTTCTATAGAACCGGTACGATTGATAATGGAAGACAACTATCGCATTTTCGCAAGTTTATTTCCATGTTCTGGAATTTAAATTGTAGAATGATGATGCAAATTAATTTGGAGGCTTACCGGCACATGTTGGCCCGTGCAGCTTACTGTCGGGGCAGAGGCAGGCAAGCGCCCCGATCGCGTTCCTGTACCGGCACTGGCCCCCGCTCGCGATGCAGGCGGGGCAGTCACCGATGCTGCCGGTGCCCGCCCAGTCCAGCAGGAACCCAGCCTTCAAGAGCCGGCTATAGTTGGCCGCCGTGGACACCGCCGCCTCCGAGCCGAGCACCGGGAGGTACCTGTACGTGCAGTTCCCGGTTGGGATCGCCGGCGGCGTGTCCCGGTCGTAGCTCCCACCGAGGTAGGCGACGATGGGCCTCTTGCAGCCCGCGGTGGCGTTGGCGTACTCGCGCCCGCGTGGCTCCTTCCCGTTGCAGTTGAATAGGAAGCATAGGGCACGGTTGCTTGGGCTGATCCTCAACGGGCTGAGGGCGAGGGTGGACGAGACGTTGAAGTCGGCGAGGCACACGCCGTCGGTGCCTGTGGCGACCCTGTTATGGTAGACGACGAAGGAGCTGGCACCATAGTCGATGCTGTGGATGTGGATGGGGGAGCCGCTGATGCAAGCCGTGGTGTTGCTGTTGATACACCAGAGCTCGAAGGCCGGGTGGCCGCAGGAAGGCTCCGGCGGGGGGCGGCTGGGCGCGCCGAGCCAGAACGGGTACTTGATGCTCAAGTTCCCGCACCCCACTGGCTCGCACTCGGCATGCGCACGTTGACGGAAGAGGAACAATGAGACAAGGATGGAGAGCAGTGAGGTTGGATGCATGGCAGCAGTCTGAATCGAGGAGACTGATTTGGCAACGGGAAGGATGGCGCAAACTCGGCAGATAATATGGAAGAACATAGTTGAGGGAGAAGATAATACAAGTGATATTAGACAACGCCTTTGACTGGTTCTGTGGACGCATTTACTAGAGAGAGTCAACATCCAAATGTCTCAGTCGTCCATATGTTAGTTGGTTCAGTGTGTTTCACAGTTGTGCTTTGCAGAACATGGCAGCTGCACAGACGTGGAACGGATCCATCTTCTTGCTCTTGCAGAATCCATGTTTCTGACAAGGAGTTGGAATCCATGTTTCCCGCAGAATCTGTGATGCTAGTCTCACACGGCCTAACAATTGCTGCACCCGTCCATGGTCAAAGTATCATTGTCTTTTACTCCTTTCTAATGACTTTAAAACCTTGATCGGTCAAATATTTTTGTGTGGAGTGCACAGATCAGAAGGCTCGTGCCATTTCGCCACTAGTATTGACCGACGGTGACAGGCCTGGCATCTCTCACTTCTCTTCTTTGGAGGAATCCATCTATCACTAATCATTTTAAATGTATACCATTTCAAACCATGCATGTTTTGAAGTTAATACTCCAGCTTGGTTGAAAGTGGGGACTTGAGGCCAGCGGTGGGCGATTTGGATCATCTAAGTGCAAAATTCTTGAGTAAACCAACGGGTTTATAATTCAGCAGCAGATGGGGTTTTCAAAAGAGTAAATCATCCAGCCAAACGAAAATGAGGTATAAGAGTCTCTCAGCCACAGAGGCTGGGACACGATGTGACTGCCCGTGGACTAAAGCTTGACCAAGTGTATGATTGATCATTGAAGATAAGTATCGCATTTTTCACTAGTTTATTTCCATGCTCTGGAATTTAAATTTTAGAATGATGTTGGAAATTAATTTAGAGGCTTACCGGCACATGTCAACCGTAGCATGCCATCAGGGCAGAGGCATGGGAACTCCACGGCCGCGTTGCTGTACCGGCAACGGCTGATGATAGAGGTGCAGGTGGGGCAGTCCCTGACGCCTCAGAGCATCTTCAACAGGCGCGCAACGCGCTGCACGTTAAAAACTACTTTGCCGCGCGCGCTTCGTCTGGTTTTACGCGGCCTACAGCGCTGGCTCCAACAGCCGCGCTAAACTGCAGCGCGCGTGCCGCTCCACCAGCGCGCAAAAAATAGTTCGACACATAGTCTGCTTTTATGATACAAAAACTGGCTTCTCCAACGAAATATAGTTCTACTACGTCCACATAGCCTGCTTCTATGATACAAAATAAAACTGGCTTCTCCGACGATATATAGTTCTACTACGTCCACATAGCCTGCTTCTACGATACAAAATAAAAACTGCTACTACTCGTTCTCCGACTCGGACTCTGCCTTGGTGATGTCCTCCTCCGACGTCTGAGCACAGGCGTCAAGGAACCGCTCGTCGCGGGAGTCCCAGGACGACGCATCTCCTAGCGCCATGTTGTATTTAGCGACCGCCTTCCACGTTCGCTTGTCCTCGCGATAGGCGGCTCGCTCCTTCCTCCTCTCCTCCCTCTCCGCCCTCCTCTCGGCGAAAAACTGTTCTTCGTTGATGATGTCTTGCGGGAAGCGTTGCCTCCACAGCGCCATGGCTTCCTCGTCCATCTCGGCCAGGCTAAGACGGCGCTCCCACCTCCGGTGTTTGCGACGATCCTCGTCAATGGTAAGCCGCGGGAAAGGCGCCAACTCCTGTGCCCGCTCCCGCGTCGACACGTCAGTGAAGTTCATGTCCCAACGGGACCGCCGGAGGCGCCAAGCCACAGCGTCGTACGCGCGGGCGCCATCCTAGGCGGTGTCGAAGGTTCCGAGGCCGAGGCGCACGCTGCCGCCCGACTGAATCGAGGCGGAGTAGGTGCCGGACGGGCGCACGCGGACGCCGCGGTAGCCCGAACCTACCCGGCGGCGAGGCGGCATGGTGGCGTGTCGGCGGCGAGGAGGGAAAGCAGTGGAGAGAGCGAGAGAGAGCGGCAGATGGCGCTGCAGTTTTATAGGCGCGCGCGAAGCGGCACGCCAAATCTAGCACGCGAGCTGCCGCCTTTTCCCGTGCGCGCGCAATCGTTTCCCGCGCGCGCTTGTTTCCTGCCACCGCTGAAGCGCGCGAAACCGGTCGGCGCGCGCTAAAAAGAAGTTTTACCGCGCGGGCGCGTCTTTTAGCGCGCCTGTTGGAGATGCTCTCAGTGCCCGCCCAATCCAAGACGGTGCGCAGTCAATCTCGCATCTCTCACCTTGAATGTATTTTCATTTCTAATCAAATCTTCAACTATGCTCCAGCTTGTTTGAAATATGGGACTCGACGCCAAAGGCAGGCGATTTCGATCGTCTAAGTGGGCAAAACTGTTGCATCGAAGTGTCCAATCCTGGGCACTTATTTAATGCCCGGCGCCTAGTTGCTGCCCACAAGAGTATTTGATGACGGACGAGGATGAGTGAGCTTACCACTACCGGCACTAGGCAACCGCCATGTCAGGAGGAAGCCATCGCTGATGAGCTCTTTGTAGTCGCTGGCATTCACCGTTCCAGTCGTCCCAACCACCGGCACGGAGGTGGTGTTGCAGCCCGGTAAAGCGTATCCGCCGATGATCACGTTCGTCTCGTTGTACGGCCCTCCCACCCGAACAAATGTGTTGTTCCGGCACACTGTGTCCACCAGGTCCTCTAGGCGTGCCGGCGCCCTGGTGCAGTTGTAGAAGATGAGGTTCTGGTTCAGGGGGCTTACTGAGAAGGGATGCCTGACTTTGGTGGCGGTGTTGGCTGTCGGGACACGGCAGCCTTTCCCGCCCGAGAGATTGAAGTCTCCGAGCTTGTGGACATCGGAGACTTGCAGGGAGCCGTTGTTGTAGAAGATGTCGAGGATCTGGAGCCCAAACTCAGGCTGGTAGTACCCGAGGTATGGGGCTCCGTTGTAGCACTGGACCTGGAACCCGAGCTGGGCGCATGTGTTCTCCCTAGAAATCGAGACGATGCCGAACGGCGGTGAGATAGTGATATTGCCGCATCGCTCGGGTTCGCAGGTTGCCGCAAGCAACCGTGATGGAATCGTGGAGATGATGAGGAAGGATAGGAAGAGGCAAGGCGGCCCAAGCCATGGGAACATCGCAGAGGACTTTGGTCGAGAATTTTTTGGTACCAAGTCGATGAAGTGCACATGTATGCGAGGAGAGGGGGAGTCAATGACCGAGTCGTGTGTGCAGGGACATTTGAGTGCTTTGTGGCTGGGTCTAGATCAGGCTCATCATGTGGATTAGTGCACGCTCTTGTTGACCATATATGGTTGAGTTAGTTGGTTGAACGTGCTTGACTGGTAACAGTGTCTGTACACAGTACACGCGTGAATCGGCCGATGACTGGTAAACTAAGGTCCTGGTATTATAAAGTGTGTTTTATTTTAGTCTTAACTGTAAAATCTGAAACGTTGAACACATCTAGCCACCTAAATATCAGCCTGACAGAACGAGAAGGCCATAGTTAAATCCGCGCGCACGGAAAATCGGAAGGACACTCTGCATGCCACCATGCTGCAAAGATATATTCAGCGATTCAGAGATACCATGGCGGGAGGAGCGATTCAGAGGCTCTCCTTTCCTTGCCCCGTCAATTGGTATACTTGTGGAGTGCCCATGTTAGACGTACTTGTGTTGTGAGAGAATAATCTGGCTAAGAATGAATGGCATATTCTGTGAGAGAATAATCTGGCTAAGAATGAAAGGCACTCCACTAATATCCCAATTGACGGGGCAAGGAAAGACCTTGGACAAAATTATGAGTAGCTGCCGATCAAGTGGGTGCAGGAATTTTCAGATATGTCGATATCATGGAATGATCTTGAATAGTATCAGCACCGTGAGATGCCGGGCAGATCATGTAGTCTTGTATTTCTCTCTCGGCATTTTTCTTTTAAGAATCTTTATTCCAAGTTTCTTCACAAGATAAATACGTAGTTAATGCAAATCATGAGTGCCTCTAGTCAGTAATTAGTCGTCGTCGAGATATTACCCTGAAGAGTTTTTTTGTTGAGAGAGAATAGGGGACTGCTTCCTCCAATTTCATTTTAACAAATCAATTGCCATTCTTACAAACCCCCAAACTACAGGTACTTAGGACTCCAAAAGAACTTAAATTACCGTGGATAATTAGTTCAACACTCCAAAGCAAATTAAGAGCATGGGTGAAGAGTAGAGAAAGAAGGTATTTGATTTTTAGAGGTAATAAGTTGCCCATTGATGACGCTCTTCTAAGTCCACAAATATTTTTTATGGAATGAAAAACAATTTGATGAGCGAGCTTACCAGTAACAGACGATTGTTGCCATTTCAAGAGGAAGCCACCGCTGATGAGCCGCGCGTAACTGCTCGCATTCGCCTCGCCATATACCCCAAGAACCGGCAGGCAGGCAGAGATGCACCCCTCCAGAGAGTACCCCACTACCCCTCGTACTTTTCTGAACCATTGTAGCGCCCTCCGACTCGAACAAATGTGTTTCTCTTGTCGCTGCATCTCAACTCGACCAGCGCCTGGTCCTGACGGGCGGCCGCTGTTCCAGCCTCCTCTGTGCAGTAGTACAAGATGAGGTTTAGGTTGACTGGGTCGATCCTGAACGGACGGCCGAGTTTGATGGAGGTGTTCCAGAATGGGACTTGGCAGCTGTTGTAGGTGTGCAACAATTCCAACTTGCCTAGGTCGATGACGCGTATGGTGCGTTCCTCATAGGAGATGTCGATGATCGCGAAGCCAGGACCGGAGGGTACTGAACTCCGGAGAGCTGGAGTAGTGCCGTTGAAGCAAGTGACCTCGAAGTCGGAGTTGCCACACGATCTTTCCGCCCCCATGTTAGCGAGCCAGAATGGGTGGGAGATGGTGATGTTGCCGCATCTCTTCGCTGAGCCGAAGCAGCCTCCCACTTGTTCTTCCTCAGCTGCTGCCACGAGCATCAGTGGCAACCACCAGGCGGAGACAAAGATCAAAAACCAGCAGCTAGGAGGCATCAGAACATATAAGGCTTGGAATTGGTTTCATCGACAAAACGAAGGAGGTATCTGAATTGGAGATGAGCTGATCGTGGGCTGTGAGGAGCTAGAATTCAGGGAGAATATGTATAATGAATGATATACGGGTGAGTGGTAGTGAGAGGAGTCCAGGAGCAGTCGTCGCCGCGTAGCCTACTAAACCAATTGACGGGGCAAGGGAAAGACTTGGGACGAAATTATGAGCCATACATGTCTTTCTTCTTACCTTTTGTAGTTGGGAACCATAGATGGCTAAACATGATGAGAAAAAGAAATGTACATTGTATGGCAAAGTACATGAGTGTTCAAAAAGTTTTCCAGTGTTCAAAGAACAAAGCTTTCCAGTGTTCAAAAAGGGAGGCGTGTTCTTGTATGTGTTGATAGAAGTGCTTCAGTCAATAGGCCCTTCCTCGCTTGCTAACAAAAATGTTCTTCCACTCAAAAACACATGCATGAGAGGTGTAATCCCTAAAAGCAAACCAAATAGGCACCAGGAAAAATCAATATACAGGAGCTTATTCCAGGCATGGAACTCTTAAAATTCATGCGCCGCTGAGAAAGAGTGGGCGAGTCCGTGAGTGTTTTATTATTCAGGTCCCTGCGTCTCACGCTGTATTGCAACGCAAGCATGATCGATCTTATGTACCAGAAAATTGCCATCGCAACACAATACAATATGTACTGACGGCTGCCGTCGGCATATTCTGAGGTACGCCGACGGCCTTTCCTCAAGCAGTCGGCATATCTCCAACTATGCCGACGCCCCAACAAAAAGCCGTCGGCATAGACAGTTATTCCGGTAGTGCAGCATGTTGTCTAATTCTGTGTGTTTAACAGGCATCTGATTTTGGAGGCAAGACATTTGGAGCAGCAACGACGACAAGCTAGTTGTGGACAAGGGAAAGGTCGAAGATAGATCTGGTGATCATTTGTACAGGTGATGATTTTTTTAAGGAATCCAATAACTCTCGAACGTTTGGATTTTTAGCATTTCGTCCCGAACGTTTTTACATGGTGTCAAGGACCTCGGTGCCCAAGACAGCAGGACCTCGACTACGTAGTCCGTAGTCTCGGTTGATAGGAGCGCTAGGGTTTTTGCCTAACTGCTCAATGGTGCAGGAGATGAGATTAGAAGTAGAGGAAGAGGTAGGAGATAATGATTTATTGCTTGCGTCAAAGGGTGCAGATTACACGATATATAAATGCCTTATGGGCTTCTAACAAACTGAAAACTATGCCTAACAAACTACTCCTGGACTCTAGGAACCAACGTAGGATCAGGACTCTTTGCCCCGATCACGCCTCGCCAGCTGTGGCCGTCGGCTGCTGCTCCTGGGCGCGCGTCCCGCGCCTGTACGCAGCGCCCCACATGACATCTCTCCCCCCCCCCTCGACGAGCAGCTCGTCCTCGAGCTGAAAAGCGGGGTAGCGCTCGATGAAACTGTCAAGATCCTCCCATGTTGCCGATGATGCTGCCTCGCCCCTCCAGTGGACAAGGAGCTGGCGAACGCCGCGTGCTAGGCGTGAACGAGTCACGCGTTCTGGTTCCGGGACAGCCGCACCGTTGTGGATCGGAGGCAAACCCGGCGGTGCAGTTGGAGGCGTGCCGAAGAACTTCTTGAGGAGGCCCATGTGGAACACGTCATGGAGGCGCGAGCGCGCTGGTAGCTCAAGGCGGTAGGCGACGTCGTTGACGACCTCGGAAATGCGGTATGGCCCGTAGAAGCATGGCTTGAGCTTGCCCCTGGTTGGCAAGTTGAGAGAAGATGCGGCGCGCTGGCAAAGACGAAGCCACACCCAATCGCCCACTACATGCCTGATGTCGCGATGGCGTCTGTCGTAGTAGGACTTGTAGACCGCCTGCGCCTGCTGTAGTCGATAGCGGACATCAGCGAGTAACTCATCTCGCTCCGCCATGCTTTTTGCCACGGCCGCCACCCTCGTGTCGCCTGGCTCGTAAGAGCGAATAGTGGGAGGGTCGCGGCCATACACGAGCTTGAACGGAGTTTCTTGGGTCGCCGTCTGGTAGGCGGTGTTGTAGATGTACTCGGCCCAGGGGAGCCATCGTAGCCACTGCCGCGGACGATCCCCTGCGAGGCAACGCAGGTACATAACAATGATCTTGTTAGCAGCCTCCGTTTGGCCATCCGATTGAGGATGAAACGCCGATGTCATTTGCAGCTTCATCCCGGTGAGGCGCATGAGCTCCCGCCAAAAAGCCGAGGTGAAGACGGGGTCGCGGTCCGAGACCATGGACTGCGGAACGCCATGGAGGCGCACAATCTCGGCGAACAACACCTATGCCACCGACTCTGCCGTGTACGGGTGGGCCAACGCCACGAAGTGGCAGTACTTGCTGAACCGATCCACCACGGTGAGGATGACGGACTTCCCACCCACGCGAGGGAGCGCTTCCACGAAGTCGATGCCAACGTCAGTCCACACGCCCGTGGGCACCGGTAGCGGCAGCAGCAGACCGGTGGGATGCAAGTGCTTGGACTTGGACCTCTGGCAAGTACCGCAGGCGCGGACATACTCTTGCATCGTCTTGCGAAGGTTAGGCGCGTGGAAGTCGCGGCGGAGACGATGCAGGGTGCGTAGGACGCCTTCGTGCCCATCGTCGTGCACTGCGGTGAGGAGCTCCTGGAGTAGTGGGGACGACGGCGGGATGTAGAGGCGGCCGTTGAAAGTGACGAGGCCGTCGGAGAGCGACCACGGCTGCTGCCGCGTACCCGCCGTGATATCCTCGCGCAGCGCGACGAGCGCCGGGTCGGTTGACGTAGCTTGCCGGAGGCGATCGATGAAGTAGAAGCGAGGACCCGATATCGCCATGACCGATGTCTCCTCCGTGTCGCGGCGGGAAAGGGCGTCCGCCACCGTGTTTGTACTACCGGCCTTGTACTCCACGGTGAAGTCGAACCCCAGTAGCTTGCCGACCCAATGGTGCTGCGGAATGGTTGCCAAACACTGGTCAAGGAGGAATTTGAGACTATAGTGATCATTTTTTACCATAAATTGGCGCCCCCAGAGGTATGGTCTCCAATGACGAATAGCGAGCACCTGGCCGATGAGTTCCCATTCATATGCTGCCAGAGAACGGTGACGAGGCGCGGCCGGCCGGCTAAATAAAGCCACCGGGTGCAGGTCCTGAAGAAGGACGGCCCCGAAACCGTACGTAGAAGCGTCACACTCGATGATGAACGGCCGTGTGAAGTCCGGCAACGCGAGGACGGGAGCCGTGGTGACCGCCGTCTTGAGGGCGGTAAAAGCTGTTGCCGCCTCCGGTGACCAGGAGAAGCCATCCTTGCGAAGGAGGGCCGTCAGGGGCGCGGCAACCACGCCAAACTCCTTGACAAACTTGCGGTAGTACCCCGCAAGGCCGAGGAACCCCCAGACCGCGCGCGCCGAGCGTGGCTGCGGCCATTCGGCCACTGCCTGTACCTTTTCTGGATCCATGGCCACTCCTGTAGCGGAGATGGTGTGACCCAGGTAGGAGATCGACTCGATGGCGAACGCACATTTGGATCGCTTGACGAAGAGCCGGTGCTGGTGCAGGACGGTGAAGATGGTGCGCACATGTCGGAGATGGTCCGCCCACGTCTCGCTGAAAACGAGGATGTCGTCAAAAAAAACGAGAACGAAACGGCGCAGGTATGGCCGCAGCAGATCATTCATGAGTGCCTGGAACGTCGCCGGCGCGTTGCAGAGGCCGAACGGCATCACCAGGAACTCGTAGAGGCCGTCGTGGGTGCGGAAGGCGGTCTTTGGGATGTCCTCTGCGCGCATCCGCATCTGGTGGTAGCCGGAGCGCAAGTCGAGCTTGGTGAAGAAACGAGCGCGCCGGAGCTCGTCGAGGAGTTCGTCCACCACCGGGATCAGAAACGCATCCTTGACGGTGATGGCATTCAGGGCACGGTAGTCGATGCAGAAGCGCCATGACCCGTCGGGCTTGCGGACCAGCAGTACCGGCGAGGAGAATGTGGAACAACTCGCTCGGATGATGCCCTGGGTGAGCATGGCGGCGCACTGACACTCCAGCTCGTCCTTGTGCGCGGCCGGGTAGCGATACGGATGGACGGCCACCGGGGCGGAACCGGGCAGCAGGGTGATGCCGTGGTCGCGGCCGCGGGGTGGTTGCATGCCCGAGGGTTCGGCGAAGATGCCGTCGAACTCGATGATGATGGCGTCGAGGAAGTCGCGGCCGCTGCATGATTTCAGGGCTGGTCCGGCCGGTCCTGCAATGCCGCGCCAGCACACCCGATGGCCCCCCCGCCAGAACATCATGGAGAGGGCGCGGAAATCCCACAGGATCGGTCCAAGCATCGCAAGCCACTGCGTGCCCAGGACGACGTCGTAGCCCGCGAGTGGCAAGGCGAGGAAATCCCCCGAGAACGCCTCTTGGTCGATGTGGAAAGACACTGTGGTATGCGCCCTGGCACAGAACGCGCTCGCTGTTGGCCATAGTTACGCGCATCTTCTCGGGGGTGGGGGATGGTAGTGTAGCACGGGCGGCCGCCTCCTCGGCGATGAAGTTGTGGGTGGAGCCGGAGTCGATCAGGGCGAGGAGGGAGACACCCCCGAGTGTGATATGCATCTTCATGGTCTCGCTCGTGCGCATGCGGAGATTGCGTGGAGCGAGATCTGAGGTCGGCCGGCGAGGCATCAGCGGTGGCGGAGGCCGTGTCGTAGTCGTCGTCGTCTGGCGCCAGGTCGAGGAGAAAGATGCACTGACACACGCGGTTGTGGCCCCTGCCAAACTTATCATTACAATTGAAGCATAGGCACATGCGACGGTGTTCCTCCATCTCCGCCTGTGACAGGCGTTTGATTTGGCGCCCTTCTGGAAGACTGGGACCATGCTGGGGTGCGGCTGGTGGTGCCGGTGCGGTGGGCGCGAGGCGTGGTACGGGCGCCGACAGGATGCCCTTCTGCTGAAAACGAACCGGTGGCGCGGAGGCGAGCGCGCACTCGGCGAGGGACTGCGGGTTGTGGATCTCCACATCGAGGCTGAGGGGTGGCTGGAGTCCCGCGGTGAAGATCTGAACCTTCTGTGTCTCCGATAAGAAGCCTGCCCGGGGAAGGAGCGCCTCAAACCGCTCCTGAAAGTCGACGACGGACGTCGTGCGCTTGCACGCCATCAGTTCGCCCAGCGGGTTAGCACGCAGAGGTGGCCCGAAGCGGAGATTGAGCAGCTCGGTGAAGCGGCGCCACGGAGGTGTGCCCTCGTCGCGCTGGACCTGCATATACCACAGTTGGGCAGTACCCTCGAGATTGTATGACGCCATCCACATTTTCTCCTTCTCGGCGATCCGTTGTTGATGGAAGAAGGACTCACATCTGTTGATGAATGCGAGAGGATCGGACTTGCCGTCGAACTTGGGGAAGTCCATCTTCTGAAACCGGGGTGGTCGATCGTTGTGGTGCTGCCCGTCCTGGCCCCCGTCAGCGCCCGACGAGGAGGCGGACTTGTCCTTCTGCAGTGCGGCGACGGACGTCTGCAGGGACGCCACCGCTGCAGTCAAGGCCTCAATCATCTTGGCCAGATCAGCGGTGGTTGGTTCTGCCATGGCGGAAGTAACCGAGGCGGCGGCGGATGGTGGCGATGGAGGTGGGCTTGTCGCGGACGCAGGTGCGGAGGCGGGCTGCGGAGGTAGCGTTGACGAGGAAGAGGATCGCCTGGAACCCGATACCAAGTTGTCAAGGACCTCAGTGCCCAAGACAACAGGACCTCGACTACGTAGTTCGTAGTCTCGGTTGATAGGAGCGCTAGGGTTTTTGCCTAACTGCTCAATGGTGCAGGAGATGAGATTAGGAGTAGAGGAAGAGGTAGGAGATAATGATTTATTACTTGCGTCAAAGGGTGCAGATTACACGATATATAAAGGCCTTATGGGCTTCTAACGAACTGGAAACTATGCCTAACAAACTACTCCTAGACTCTAGGAACCACCGTAGGATCAGGACTCCTTGCCCCGATCACGCCTCGCCAGGCCGTCGGCTGCTTCTCCTAGGCGCGCGGCTCGCGCCTGTACGTAGCGCCCCACATGACACATGGCTACTTTAGTTCATAGGCGATGGCAACTTTATTTTATAGGGGATGGCAACTTCGTCCTTTTTCTTTTTTTGTCAGAGAATTGCCATGTTTCCCTAATCTCACGCAAACTAAACTTGCCATCTAACCCGTTCGGGTTGCCATGCTTAACTCCCGAACGTTCGGGAGTTATCATTACCGTTTTTTATAGAAAAATAGATGGAGGTGGGAGACAGCCAGAATCTGAAAGGATTGACTGGTTCAGCAATGGTTTTTCAAAAGAATATAAAAAGTTCAGCATAACCCCACGGACAAGTCTTGAATAATGAGATGGTGCGCTGTGATGTGACTGCCCACTGTGGACTAATTAAAGATAGACTGAAGGACTGAATGTGTGTGTTGTGCAGAGTGCAGACAACAATGGCAACCAGCAGTTCGGAGCAAGAGATAATACCATGGCTAATAATGAATCAACATATTGATGGGGAATGGAGTCGAATTCGACATGCTGCAAGTTCCCGGGCTTTTTCACGATTTTGGCTCTTTCAGAAAACTTTCGCACAAAATATACTCCACACAAAAATATTTCACGATCTGATCCTTTTGGTAACACCACAAGCCGTGGCGTTTCTTCTCTATTTGAAAACGCCGAACTAGCCAGCGTTGCTCCAAGCGAAGACCTGGGACAAAATTAAGTTGACAGTTTACTCAGAAAATGTACAGTATCAGGACTTTTCTGGTATATGTCGAACTCTTCGATGCCGTGTGCTCCGGGGTAGGTGATGGTCGAGGTTTTGTGCCCGTATGTTTTTCTTCCTATCATTGTCTATTTGTATGCCGTGAATTGTTTTAGGCAGGATAACTACATCCATCTGTACACTGTATAGTACAAGAGGTCAAGAACACATGTTCTATGGAAACTCAAAGACATGTGATCCAAGAGGGAAGCGCATTTCTTTTTTTTTTTCTAAAAAGGAGGTTAATTCCTCTGGCCTCAGCATCATTGTGCATAAACCAGTGTCCGTTTCTAAGAGCGGAAAATGACATGAGTACGTCATGGAGCAGCTTACAATCTAAGATGAAGAAATACTTGTGGTGCATGAAAGGGGACCCGTAATTAGTCGTGATTGAGCTATTATCATGGGGAATTAGTTCAACAATTCGAAGCAACTAGAAGGGGCCAGGAGGAGAGAAAGAAAATGTCCGATTTTGTAGTTATATAAGGAGCTTACAGAATTTGTTCATTGAAGTTGCTCTTGTCAAATTCATAAAAAAATGATGAAAAGAAAGACAATTTGAGGAGTGAGCTGACTATACAAACTTTGATTAAAAGATAAGTCCGCGGGTGAACTTACGTGCAGGTGCAGGTGTAGGGCGAGGTGCAAATGGAGCGAAAGCTGGCGCCGGATCCCATGTCAGGAGGAAGCCATCGCTGATGAGTTGCTTGTAGTCGCTCGCATTCGCCCCTCCTCCCGATGTGCCCAGTACCTCGCATCGCAGCCCTCCAAAGCATAGCCGGCGTAGTCCCCGATTGCGTCGTAACGCACTCCCGCGCGAACAAATGCGTTACTCGTGTTCACGCATCTTACCTCGGCCAGCGCCCTGTCCTGAGGTGCCATCATCTTGGTGCAGTTATAGAAGATGAGGTTCAGGGTGGCCGGGTTGACCTGAAACAGGGGTGCCAGTTTGGCGGAGGTGTTCCATAACGGGAAATGGCAGCCGCTGGAGACGTTGAAGTCTTTGTCTTTCTGTACATCAACGACATGCATACTGCGTTTCTCGTAAGAGATGTCTATGATTGCAAAGCCACTTAATCCAGAGGTCCTGAGAACTGGAACACTGCCGTCGATGCAACTGAGTTCAAAATCCAAGGGACCACATGATCTTGTAGTCTCCATGTCGGGGAGCCAGAATGGTTAGGAGATGGTGAGATTGCCGCAGCTGTTTGCCGAGCAGCCACCCCCTTGCTGCTCCTCAGCCGCCAGAATGAGCACAGATAGCAGCGACCAAACCCAGAAGAAGGCTAAGAACCAGCAGCCCGTAGCCATAGGAGAATAACACTTGGAAATTTGTTGCAGCAACAAACAGAAGGGCAAACGGAATTAGTGACCTTGCCTGGTTACGAATGAATGATACTATATGGACGGAGCAGTTGAGTCTTTGGCAGTCGTCATACGCCAATGCATTCAAATTTCTTGATTACCCAGTTGACGGGGTGAGGAAAGATCTGGACAAACTATTAGTGGGTGGGTGCAGATCACTGCAGGACTTTTCAGACAAGTGGATATTGTGGAATGGTCTTGAATAGTCTCAGTCTTGGTTCCGTGAACTGCGGGGCAGATGCATATATACTTCCGTCACCTCGAAGTACGGTAGGGCACCATCTCCCTCTCACGTGATCCTCCCTCTCGCGTCCTCCCTCTCGCGCCGCCTCCCCCGCGGTCGGCTCGAGAGGGCTCAGCCGCCGCTGCCGCCTAGTAACCCTCCCACGCCCTTCTCCCCCTCTGCCGCTGCCGATGGTCGGCGTCGGGCAAAGCCCGTGCGTGTGATGGCGGCGGCGTGGAGTCTCTCCTCCCTCTACCAGATCCGCGGCGGCGCGGGCGTCCTGATCCACGGGGTGCGGCCCTTCCGATGGTGTGGCGGATCCCGGAGGCAGCGGGCTCGGGGCGGTGCACGGGCGCCCAGATCCATGGTTGTGGGATTTCCGGCAGCGTACGGGCTCCCGACGGCGGCGGGATCGGTTGGCGGCGGGCTTGGGCAATGGCGTCGGCCGCGCGGTGCCGGATCTCGTCGCTCGTGGCGGATCTCGCCACTCCGGCCATTGTAGAGTAACCTGGACCTGGGGCGGTGGCCCCGTTAGGCATGGCGACGGCGCCCTCGGCTGGCGACGTTCGCGAGCGGTGGATGGACTACGTCTTGACCGCGTGGGCGGTGAGTTGCTGGTGGATCTCCTCCACGCTGCAGGCTCTCTCCGGCTGCACTTGGTGGCTTACGATCGCGGTCGTCGGCCTCGGTGCGTTCGCGGGGGCTGATAGAGGTGACATCGGATCGGAGAAGCCTCTGGATGACTCGTTCATCCCGACGGTGGCGACGACCAGGGTCGGGTCGCCGTTCTCCTCCTTGCAGCGCCGTCGAGGTCCCTGCCCTCCACACCGACCCCATGCCCGGTGAAAACCTAAAATCTCCTTAGATTGGGCGGCGGCGGCACTGTGTGTGTCGTACTCTCCTTGAAGGCGCCGCCTGAGATGTTTAGATGCTCGGTTAGACGAACTGTAGGCGGAGGGGATGGGACGTAGAGCCACGCCCCAGTCCACTCAATGCCGACCCTTGTAGCTACAGTACCTACAGCAGCTACAGTGCCGGAAATAGCTATAGTATACAAATGATAGAAATAGCTATAGTATACAAATGATCGTAGAGCCACGCCCCAGGCCATGGCCCTACCTAGTAGCCCGGGGCCTGGCTACGCCACTGATTCACACGACTTGGGCGCGCAAGACGCCATGGCTGGCGCCGCCGCCGTCGTCGTGTGGTGCAGCAGTACGAAGCTTTGCCAGGACTTAGAGGAGTGCTGGTAGCAACGAGGGGTGCATCGCGACGTACGATATGATCGATCCGTGGTGTTGCGTACGTTGCGTGGAAGAACACACAGATGGTGTCTGGGTGTCGCGCTGTCACTTTATCTCGTGGACTTGTCTATGTTTCTGTTAGATTAGTGTTGAATATTATTGTACAAGGTAGGTTACAGTTAGATTTGGTTTTGGACTGTGTGTAGACAGGGTAGAAGTTGTGTCCTAGTAGGACACTTGTATCCTAGGCCTTTCATATATATTGGGGGTAGACACACTATGTAACCTATGCCAACATAATAGCACGGGCACGCGGGGGAGCCGGCGGCGTGTGCCGGCGCCCGGGTGGCCGGGGTGCGGTATTGTGACGGTGTCATGGGGAGGAGCGCCCGTAGTCATGACCCGAGGATGTAGCGATGATTGTGAACCTCGTTAACAAATCTCGGTGTCATGCCTCATGTGATTGCTTGGTCCTCGGTAGATCGACGGTGACTTCGGATTAATTCTAACAAGTGGTATCATGAGCAAGGTTATGAGAAGGCTGCGGATAGTTGATCTAGAGGATAATCGTCGTTGTCAAATCGTCGTGGAGGCTATACCTCGGCGTGTCGTCGGGTGGAAACAGCGGAATCCACAAACGAGTTACTGCGAGATCGGAAAGCATCAGGATTCGGCGAGATCGCTCGGAAGCGCGTGCAGCAGATCAATTTGTTTCGCGGTGGGGTGTTTTGGTCAGGGAGTGGACTCCAGATCGGTGCGGCGCGTGTCCAGTGCACAAGGCCTAGCAGCGGTAACGGGCGAAGGCTCGGCTGAAGCGTGGGGCTGTCTGATGCTCAGCGTGGCCTCGGCGGCTCGGCCTAGGCGCAGGCGCAAGGCAGCACGGCCACATGCGGGAGCAGCCATGGCCCGTGTCAAGGGTTGGGCCACTGTGGTGCAGGCGTAGGCGTGATGTCTAGAAGCCCAAGGCATCACTGTGGTGCAGGCGTAGGCCACCGTGGATGACGTGCTGAGCATTGCTGTAGAAGCCGAAGGAATCAAAGGCAGTGTGAGATTTGTTAAAGAAAAAAAGGCGTCGGGTATCTGTGTGTATATTTTCATAGGAAGCAAAGAAAAAGCGGGGAAGGAGAAGCTTTGGGGCTGCACGTGAGCAAGGATGAACGGAGATTTTTTGATCTTGTGCGCACGAGAAGGCTACTAGAGGGATTCTCCAATTGGCTCTATTTGCTTGGTACATATACATGTATGTACGGGATGGTAGAAGTGCACGGTACAGAAAATAAAGGCGCGACCGCAGGTCCATGGAAGATGGCGTGCGTGGCAAGGGCGGCGTGCGTAGAAGGCTTGTGGAGTCTGGAGCTCGTCATGGCAGAATCATGCATACACAGGACGTCAAGCAATGCACGGAGATGTGCAAGGCGGACATGACGCAGGGTGAAGCATAGTTGCAGTCGAATAGTTTCAGTTGGGTCGGACTTGACAGTCTGATGGATCGACATGGATGTTGGTCCACTACTAGGAAAAGGCCTAATATGGACATTAATGGCGCACCACCTATGAGTGGACCGCCTTTTTAATTTAAAAAAAATAAAAGAAAATGATGGAAATGTCAATAAAATAAAATAAAATAAGTTTCCCATGTGATATGTGGTCTAGTTGTTGGGAAAATTTACAAATATGAGTTTCGACTTTATTTGCAAAATCTCTCTGGAATTTGTAAAATGGGCATAACTTTTGCATACGAACTCGGATTAAAAAGTATTTTATATGAAAAATCATCTACTCGAAAAGTTACATCCGAATTCAACTGGGAAACCACGTTGAAGATATTTAGAATCCCCAAAAACCTAACAGAAAAAAAGATACGGGGCTTTTAAGATCTAGAGGGGGAAAAAGAAAAAAAATTCAAACTTATTAGTGGCGCACCATTTGCTAGGTGCACCACTAGTAACAGAAAAAAATTAGTTTCGATTTTTTTTGGAAAAAATGTTCAACATATGATACGTAATATGAACGGAAATTTGAAATATTTTTTCAAAATTTCATCACACTCATGAACATGAACAAAGTCCTAGACATCAACAAGGTTTAATAGGATTGATATGCTAGATATGTCAACACGTGCCTGTTAAGTGAGCTGGTGCTGGGGTTGGATAGAACTCTGAAGTTAAGCATGCTTGGGCTAGAGTAGTGTGAGGATGGGTTACCTTCCGGGAAGTTTGACCATGAAGCGCACCTCTAGGCATAGTAATGGCGCACTATAGGTGCGCCATTACTAAAAATTACTAGTGGCATGATGCTAGTGGCGCACCTGTAGTGCGCCATTAATGGCCAAAATAGGTGCGCCACTAATTTGCCTTTTTCCTAGTAGTGGTCAATGCAGAAGACGGCGGTGATCTCAGCGACGACGACATATGAGCGTGATGCTGATGGAGGCCAACTTCTGGGGCGTGGAAACACGTCGTGCAGGTCTGAGGGCTTGTGCGGCTTCGACAAGACTGTGGCGCAGGGTTGATTCAAGGCAGTATACACATGAGTGCTTGAAGTCAACGGGGCGCGAGGGTAGCATGGCCAGCTACATGGAGTCATGTGGAAGGTGGAGCTAGAGTCTGATGGACGACTTCACTCTGTGCTGATGGAGGGGCTACGGCGTAAATGCATTGAGAGTCGAAGCCTATTTCAGTGGGGATAGCGAGAGACACGTGGATCGTACTGGGTACCAGTGGTCTGATGGAGACGTGATACTCAACATCGGTCGGTGATGATCGGTGGTTCTTTGCAGTAGGGTTTTGAGTGGTGTGGGTCTGCAGCCCTAGAGACTCAACCAGGATAGCAGAGGCTCGACGCGGTGATAGCTACGAGGCGTGCGATAAGCACGGGACACAACGGCATGCCAATGCATTGATGGTCATACATGTGGTCAAATAAATTGTGCAAGGGTGCTAAAGGAGTGTTGACGAGTACTGGATTCAAGTTGCTGACTGGGTCTATCAGTGCCGGAAGATGGACAGGAGTTGACCATGAAGAATTTGAGAAAGTGGCGGAAAGTCTGAAATTGTCAAAAGGTGAGAGAGTACATGGCCGTATATTCTGTGGAGTTTAGTGTACATGGCAAAGTGCGGATGGCAAATACAGAAGGAGGCAGAGTGCTATAGCTGTGGGACATGCCAGAGACATATCCGGGAGAAGGGTGAGATAACTGCGAATTTGGCTCAGGGTGACTCATGGCGACGGTGAAATTACTTCAAGTTTTAGACAAGCAGTCAACAAAGAGCGGTGACGTTGAGTTCAGGTAACTCTTATATGTGGCGTCCAATATGTGAGTTGTTCATTTTCATGCAGACAGTGGTCGGTGTGTGATGGCATTGAACGGACTCTTCGAAAGTCTGGAGCACAAAGTAGAGTATTGAGGAAATTAATTTTGCTCGAGTATTGACTGTGAACCAGACGAGAAGGGACTACAATTGCAGGTGGAGTCACAT